CCATTTGCCAAAGTCACCTGTGACCACAGTCAGCCTAGCCTACCACATGGCTGCCCGAGCAGCCCTAGACATCTACTAGCAGCCACTGGTTGTATCAGGGGATGGCATGGTTTGGTCAGCTTAAGTCCCCACAGGCTTTACCTGGGGGTGGGGACCATCAGCAATGTGGCTACAAAGCAAGGAAGGAGGATGCAGGGGCTGGGGCACTGACTTGGTACAACACAGGCTAAGGAAGCCACTAGGGAAAGGGGACCTGCTCCCACCCTCTCCTATGGTTACTGTCCCTCTGCTGTGCTGTTTCTCTATTGCCTTTTGTTGTATGTATGTATGTATGAGTAATAATGAGTCCTTTAGGGTTTTTTTTTTTTTTTTCCTCTCAGGATTCACTGTTCCTTGCTTCCTACTAGAAGCCTTCCCAGTGCAAAGTCTTAACAACGTCAATAAAAGCATTATCGTGACCCTTCAAAATAATATATTGGACCCTCAGCTAATAGTTAAGAGATAGGTAGTTCACCTCTCTATCTGACCTGGTTATTCAGTAACTGGTATTGATTGAGGGGAAGTGGGACTCTAAGAAGTAACATATCCTGCTAATGAAGACTCAAGAGAGTCACAGGGCAGCCAGCCCTACCTGGAACAATCTGGGGGCCTTGTTCCGTATGTTATCCCTTGGCACTTGGCCTGCAGCCTGGCCCAGGACCTGGGCTGCTATCCTGTCTCAGTTACCCTAGAGCCAGCTAGGCCAGACCCAGCTTTGTCTGAAGAATCCCCTGCTCCCCTGCTGGGGCCTCTTGATGGAGGAGGGAGGGACTGGGAGAGAAGAAGTGAAACCTGTGGTTCTGTGTGCTGCTGTCATTTCTGTGAGGCATTGTGGGCTTGGTAGCCCTTTGAACTGTGGCACCGCAGAGCAGATGCTAAAGTGGAGTGGGATGAGCAGTGGACTCAGTCAGGGGCCTGAATTCAAGTGTGCTCTGCAAACCAGCTGTATGGCTTTGGGCTCATCACCTCTGCACCCCTGCATCAAACCTGAATCTTGGTTTTACCCAGAGTCCAGGCAGGAGGTCCTCGAGGATGTACCTAGCATACAGCACAGTTGAGGACCCCAGGCCCTGGGCATCACAAATCTTTTGCTTTCTTAGTATCCTGAGTGTCAAATTTTCTATGGGGGCCAGAAGTCAGAGCTGAAAGGGCGGCCAGACCAGGATACTAGAGTCGCCAGGCTGGAATCTCACAGATCAGGGATCTTGCAGGTCAGGATGTCAGTGTGGACCTCTGCTCATCCCTCTCTGTCAGCTCTAGAGGGAAACCGTGGGAAAGCCTTAGCAGGGCAGTTGGCCATGGGCACCTGGATCCCAACCCTAGGCAAGGTGAGGGCCCTAGTAGCCTCAGGGACATGCTGTACTCATCTAGACCTAGAGGGCTGTGTTGACCTCTAAATCCTTACCCTCTAGGTGACCTAGGGCCTGGAGCCCCCAACCCCCAGGGCGTGTGGTGGCACTCCCACCCCACTCACCACAGGAGAACACCTCAGATGCCTGCCCCTCCCTGCTCTCCCCTCCCAGCTCTTCATCCTCATCTAAAAAACCAGAAATGACACTGGCTGTCATTTTGCAGTGCCTACTGGGTGTCAGGAACTATGTTAGTAGCATCTCAGTAATGTCACTAGCGCTATGAGAAAGGTGACAAACTGGTTTTCAGATGAGGAAACAAGTTTAAGGAATCAAACCAGGCTTTGCTTGACTCTGAGATCCTTGCTCTTTCATGGACATCACCTCCCTGAAACACACCATAGGGTCCCACTATGATGCTGCCATTGTGTGGTCAGGCAGAGGCTATAGGGTCAGAAAGGCACAGGAAGCTGGCCCTACTCTTCAGTGAGGAAATCTGTCTGTAACTTCCAAAACAATCAACAGAGTGAAGTTCTGGGTCTCCACCTGGCTTAGCCTGAAGGGTGTCAGAGTTCCCTGATGTAGAAAATTCCAGGTCCCATCAGTGTCTTCCAATCACCCTCAAGAGAGACTCTAACTCCAAGCCCTCTGCCTCTTCCCAGCTACCTCTCCCTCTGCACTTGGCTGCGTCCCACCTTCCAGCTATCCCGTGCTACTTAGAGTTCCCTAAACAGGTAGTGTGATTTCATGCCTCTGTGCTTTTGCACTTGCTGTTCCTGCTCCCGGGTACATTGTCCTGCCTACCTGGTAAGTTTGGCCAGCACTTGTTTGTTTTGAAGACTCAGCTAAAGCCTCACCTGCAGGAACCCTTTCCGGATGCTACTCCTATCATGGCTGGGCTCACGGTCCCTCCTTTGTGCTTCCATGTCACCCAGGGCTTTCCTCTCTTATGGCACTATTACACACCTTTTAGCCACCCCTCTGCCCCCTGACCTCTAAGCTCCAGGAATGAAGAGACTCCTCTTACAACGTCTCCTGCTTAGTGCCTGAAACATGGCAGACAGCGCCAGGGGAGCATGTGAGGGAGTGGGTGGGCAGTCCTGTTCCGCCAAAGAGAATCAGATGTCAGAAGTGGGTGCAGCTCTTTTTACCCAGGATTGGGAGTGAGAGGACTACAGACTAAAGGGACATGGAGCAGATAGGAAGGGAGCCTAGTACCACAAGCAGGTAAGGGTGGTTGGAGCTCCCACATGGGAAGACAAGGATCTGGGGCTTGGACATGAAGCCATCCGAGTGGCAAGTAGTGGTGGAGAAGGAGAGTTACTGGGAGCCAGGCCTTACCTCCAGGCCTGTCATTAGCTCTGACTAGCTCCTGCGTGCACTTAGCATGTCTGCTGAATTGTAGCCTGACTTTCTGGTCACTATCAGAGCTCCACAGCAGCAAGAATCACACTGTCGGGAAAGAACAGTCACAAGCAGGGGCCACAATGGGGCTATGGTCCCCTGGGATCTTTTAGATCCAGAGATAATCAGATTCGGTCTTCGTGTTCTGTGGCCAACAGGCAGGCAAGGGCCTCAGGCCATCCACATTGTTGACCAAGGTAGGCTCAGCTGAGCCCTGGGTTTGTGAGGGGTGCACAACCAGGGCCTGAGGTGAGGCTCATTTACCTGTCTCGTGGGGTAGATAGGATTGGTGCTCTCATCTATGTGTAACTGGTGAGGAAACCAGAGCCAGAAAAGGTTTAGAGGTTTACTTTAGGTCCCACAGTAAATTAGCCAGGGAACTCTCTTTTCTAACCAGGCACTGGCTTTTGCACTGGACCAGGCAGCATCCTGGGCAGGGCACTGGGTTGGTATAATTGGTGAGGCTGCAGTTTTCTTCCACCTACTGCTCTTTGCAGTAGGCCTGCTGAGTTCTCTCTCCAAATTCTCTCAAGGAATTTTCTCCCAGATTCTAAAGTCCTTGAACTAGGTGTGTACAGCCATGTGCCCATTCATAGGACCCAGAAAACATTACTGCCTCCAAGATTGCCAATGCCAGTCACCGCAAGCAGGCACTCAGAATAACCCCAGCTTCCCTGCTGAACTCAAATCCCCAGAAAACCTCTGAGATCAACCTGTACACCTTCTGGAACTGGTAGTGAGAGGCCAGCTCATACAGAAGCATGAATTCCAGACTAAAGGGTTAGAACTTCATTCTTAATGAAATGGAGAGCCATTGACAAATTTTAAGTAAGATAATGGAGGAGGTGCTATAAGTGACTTTATTCACATAAGAAAATAAGCCGTGGGGCAACAATGAGAATGGAGACAGAAAACCCAGGCAGGAAGCTGCTCCTCATGTCCAGGGGTGGAGTGAGAAGGGGCCTAAATTCAATCCAGATTCAGGCTTTGCTGAAATGCCCCTTTATTTCACAGGTAGGAGCCTTGGCAGCAGATTCCTAGAAAGAATCTTTTGTTCTGCGCCTTAGGTTCATGGATCCTAGGAAGCCTTAAGCCAAGGCTCTGAACTTCCCTAATGCCTGGCCCTTTCTCCTGGGCTGGGGGTCCATGCTGATGTCTGTTTTCCATGGGCCTCCTAGCTGCTGACTTGGCTCAGCTGATGCTTTGCTGGGGAAGCAGACAGTGATTCAGCAGAGCAATGAAGGGCCCTCCCCAGATACTCAGGAAAAGGGGATGGGTTGGGGGTGCAGTGGAAACTTTGAGTGGTGTCAGGCTGCACTGTTCTTTCCCTGTCAGAACCAGACATGGGATGAGGAGGGGTGAGGGGTGGGAGGGGCACATGTGATATGTGAGCCACAGATGGAAAGAATGATCTTTGTCCAGTGGAATGGACTTTACTTGGGCTCAGTCAGCAGCTCTCCCTCTGTTGACTCATTTCTGACTATGGTCCAGCCTCTGCTCTAAATGGCTGCCCCCCAAAAGTGCTGTTTCTGTAGTATTCTAAGCATAAGAAGAGTATTGATCTCACACTAAAGACAGACCCTTCTCCCACTTCAGGCTCCCATCCACCCTCCCTCACTGTTTCTGATATTTTTTCAATCATTCTAACAACCTTGGGAGCTCTGGTAGCATAGTGCCTAAGGCACTTGACTGCTAACCAGAAGGCTGGCGGTTCAAACCCACCAGCCACTCCTCGGAAGGAAGATGGGGCAATCTACTTCCGTAGTGATACTGCCTCGGAAACCCAAGGAGGGGTCGCTATGAGTCGGGTCCGACTCGATGGCACATAACAACAACAACAACAACAACCTTGCACCCATCATTATCGTTCTTTCGCACACACACACATACATACAGACATTCCTACATTAGTGAGGCCAAAGAAAAGTAGAGATGATGGGAGGTAGCAAGAGCAGGACAAGGTACTCACGCAGGGTGCTGGGGCCTCTGGGGTTGGGACCAGGGATATAGGGCCTCCTGAACACCCTGGCCTCTAGGCATTTGTTCCTACCCCCCACCCCTTGGTCTCTACCTCAAGGAACTTGTGTCTGGAGGAGAGCCTGATGGTAAAGAGTTGGTAGGGCTGAGGTCTTGGGGCTGCTGGCATGGGCACTAGTGGAACAGTGGGCCTGCCCTCCTGCTAACCCGGATACCTACTTTTTCCTGCAGGTTCCGAGGCTTCATCCTGTTGCTCACCTTCCTCATTTATACCTGTTACCACATGTCCAGGAAGCCCATCAGTGTTATCAAAGTGAGGCTGGGGTGGTGGTAAGGTTGGATACAGGAGATGGTGGGCTCAGCAGAAACACCCTTTTGTAGAATGATCTAGAACTCAGCCTATAATCATCCTCATCCCCTACCATGGTTGTTCCTTCACCCTGGCAGATCTCACTGTTAGCAGTTCTTTTCCCAGGAAGTTTTCCCTGGGAAAAAGTTTCCACTAAGGTGGTAGTGATATGAGTGGAATAAGATAATAGGAACTCTGGGCTGTATGGATTGTACTCATGGACTCCTATTGTCCTTCACCAAGGGGTCTGATATGACCACTTCACCCTCTGGTCAGTCCCTGCAGGAAGCAGGTGCCAACAGGAAGGAGTGTGGTCTGGTGAGGGGGAGTAGTAGCCTGGTATAGTTGGGTAGGAGGTTGCTTGCTCCTCTTGGGCCTGAGGGGCTCTGATATGATGAGATGACCTCTGCCTATGCATCCCATTGCCTGTCCAGAGTCGTCTGCACCAGAACTGTTCTGACCTGATCAAGCCCATCAATGACTCTCATACTATCAATGATACTACGTGGTGCAGTTGGGCTCCATTTGGTAAGAACAGAGCAAGTTGCTCTTCCTAACTCCCCTTCCCATTTCTCCAGGAAGGGGTTATCCAGAGCCAGGGAGGGCTTCTTGCAGGGTAGCCAAACAGCCAGTGTTCTGTCTCTCCCCTCTTTTCAGACAATGACAACTACAAGGAGTTACTGGGGGCTGTGGACAATGCCTTCCTTGTGGCCTATGCCATCGGCATGTTTATCAGGTAATGAGAGGGGCCAAGCTGGGGACCATGCCAGGGTCAGAGAATCAAGCTACTGCCCCTCTTTGACTAACTTGGGCAGCCAGGGGGTTGGGGTTTGAAGTGAAAAAGCTGATGGCTTCTCAGATGGAAACGAGACCAACACTTGTGCACATACTATCAGCCCACAGCCATCTTTACTCCTGTAGCATGCTCACTGAGACTGCTCCTCAATGTGGCATACCCCCACTTTCAGCAGATTTTTCTGGATGCTGTTTGTGAGTTTGTTGACCTAGATAACAGTGTTAGTGAGTGTGGATAGAATACAGTTTGCATTGGGCTGGGATCCCTTGAGGATGATTCTGGGAGCAGAGAAAGCTATGTAAACCCCATCTTGTCCTGTGCTCACATTAGTGCAGCCAGCATGGATTTGCATAGCAAGCTTGTGTTCATTGTCAGGGATCAAAGATAAGGAAGGCAGCGTACTGCCTCCAAATGGCTCCTGGCCTAATAGGGGTGACTGAGCAGCTAACTACCTCTTTGACAGAGGTGCTTTGTAGTATGCTCTGGGGGCTTTGAGGTAGTCACTTAGTTCAAGCTGGGACTAGGGAGAAGGGGCTAGTGAACTGATAATGGAGATGGTACTTGAGTTGAGAAGAGGAATTAGGCTTAGCAGGAGCAGGTAAAAAGACAAGAAAAAGGAGTAGTGAAAGTAAAGTTATGCAAATGTGAAGCAGTGTGATCTATGGGACAAACTATTACAGGTTCACCAAAGTGCAAAATTTGAGGGAGGTTGTGGCAGAAGATAGGGCTAGAGGATGAGGTTGTTTGCCAAGAGTCTCACATGCCATGCTGTGGGTACAGAGGAGCTATCAAAGGGTTTGATGCAAAGATGTCCTATTCAGATTCACATTTAAGGTGGATCACTCTGAGGGTGAGGATGGAGATAGATTTGAGGAGAGCAGGACTGTCATACTAAGGAACCACTTTGGCAAGAGCCCCAGTGAGCTTTGAAGAGAGCTTGAGTTAGAACAGTGGTAATAGGGATGGAAGAGAGCTGGCACATTGGAGAAATATTTAGGAAGTAGAATGCATGGGTCTTGGAGGTTTAATGTGAGGAGTGGGAAGGAGAGGGAGGAGACTGAGGAAGCTCTCTGGTTCTAGCTTGAGTGGTCAGTGCATAGTAATGCCATTGATTCAGATAAAGGGCTCAAGAAGGGCTGGGTAGGGGAAAGAAGAGGCATTCAAGGTTGGACTGTTAAATTTAGAATGCTTTTGGGGGGGTGGTATCCACATAAAGATTCCCAGAAGACATCTGGATATGTTCCTGAAGCTCTGGGAAGAGATGAGGACTGAAGATATAAACTGCCAAACCAAACCCACTGCCATTGAGTCAATTCCAACTCATAGCAACCCCCATAGAATGTCCAAGGTTGTAATCTTTATGGAAGATTATGTAATCTTTATGCCTCATCTTCCTCCCATGGAGCAGCTGTTGGGTTTGAACTGCTGACCGTCTCATTAGTAGCCAAATGCCTTATCCACTGTACCACTAGAGCTCCCTATAGATATAAAGTTGGGGGTATTTAATATACTGGGGGAAAAAAAGCAAACCAGTTGTCATTGAATCAAATCTAACTCATGTTGACCCCATGGGTGTCAGTGTAGAAGTGTGGTCTGCAAGATTTTCGGTGGTTGATTTTTCCAAAGTAGATCACTGGGCTTTTCTTCTGAATTCAATATGTAGGTGGTAGTCAGAACCCATATAAAATGGCTTTTTAAAATAGTTGAATAGACTGCCCAGAAGGAAAAGTAAGTGAGACAGAATGGTCAGCAAAGAGGGGGAAATATGCAACAGTAATGTCATGGAAAATGAACCCAGGTGGTGCAGGGTTAACCAAAAAGTCAACAGTTCAAACCCACTCCATGGAAGAAAGATGTGGCAGTCTGCTTCCATAAAGCCTTAGAAACCCTATAGGGGCAGTTCTACTCTGTCCTATAGGGTCACTATGAGTTGGAATCGACTTGATGGCAATGGGAGTGTCATGGAGGCCAGGGAGGGTGAATTTCAAGGAGAGAGGTCATCAGTTTCAAATAAAGCAGAGACATCTGTTAAGTGGAGGACTGAGATGGTGAATGAGATATGGCTACAAAGAGGCCAGTAGTGGTCACCTTGGCCAGAGCAATTTCAATGCTGTGTGGTGGAGGAAGAACGAAGATGGTAGAGAGATGGGTGAAGATAGCAGAGATTAACCATAAATCCACTTCTCTCTCCAGTGGGATTTTTGGGGAGCGACTCCCCATCCGTTATTACCTGTCGGCTGGAATGCTGCTCAGTGGCCTTTTCACCTCACTCTTTGGCATGGGATATTTCTGGAACATTCACATGCTCTGGTACTTTGTGCTCATCCAGGTATAGTTCTCATCTTGCACTCTGGCCATTGTTCTAGTCACAAAAAAGGCCTCAGAGACTGTTAGTCCTGTCCTACCCCCTGGTTATAGCAAATTTGGGACTTGAGCTATTGGTTCCCAGTCAAGAGCACCTTCTGTCATACTACCCCTGGTCTTCCTTTTCCAATCCCGACATTCCTGCATTTATTTGCTCAGCAAGTCTGAACTGGTCACCACCCTGAGATCACTGTAGGTCCACGAAAGGCTTGGTCTCTGCTCTTGGGCTAGAGAAGAAATCAGCTTGTGACATTAGGGTGTGTGTGTGCATGTGCATGAGGTAAGGGTGAGGTATGTGGTGTGGTGTGTGGAGGGCCCCTCCACATGGTCCTTAATGCAACCCAGCAGAGGTCAGAGCGGGGAGTTGGCAGCATGGCCCAAGCCTGTGCCCACCCCCACCTCCTTTCTCCCTGCAGATCTGTAATGGACTTGTCCAGACCACAGGCTGGCCTTCCGTGGTGACCTGTGTGGGCAACTGGTTTGGGAAGGGAAGGTGAGTGTGAAATGGGACGAAGAGTGGGAAGTGCCCCAGGAGGACTGGAGCTAGTCAGCAAGTCACCCCTGTCCCCTAATGTAACTTTAGGGTGAAAGACTAGAAAGCCACCTCCATCTTGCTGATTCTCACATGTATAAACATTTTAGTGGTTTAAAAGCTGTGCTAATTTTCTCAATGACAAGGTTTTCATCTAGGCAAACTTACTTAGAGGAATTTCAATTTTGAATAAAGACAAAATGAAACCTATAAAATTATTTTTTCTTCTTTTCCTTGGACTGGCTTTTGTGTAAAAAAGTTGCTTTAGAGCAAGGTTGCTTAATTTCATCACTATGGACTGGGTAATTCTTTGTTGTGTTGTAGTATATTTAGCAGGATGGGGCAATCTACTTCCGTAATGATACTGCCTCGGAAACCCAAGGAGGGGTCGCTATGAGTCGGGTCCGACTCGACGACACATAACAACAACAGCAACTAGCATCTACCCACGAGATGCCAGTGGCAGTCCCCAGTTGTGACAATAAAAACGTCTCCAGACATTGCCAAATGTCCCCTCGGGGGCAACATATTCCTGGGTTGTGGATCACAGCTTTAGAGTAAGATCAGTGGGCACAAGAGAGGAAAGTGGGTGGAGTGTCCCGGGCCCCCAAGTGTACATGAGTGGTGCTGTTCGGAAACCCTCTGTGTTGCTTGCTGGGGAGGAGGCAAGGAATGGAGTGGATATGGGAATTGGGATCCCTGGCCTTGCTGGAGCTATTGACATCAGTCAAGCTCTCTCTACTCCTGGACTTGGACTTGAACTTGGCTTATACCTCTTGGGGCGTTAGGAATCTCATGGTGCCTCAGGGGAAGCTGCAGGCAGCCAGATCTTCGATCTTGGCTGAAGCAGTTGCTATGAAATATATTAATCTCCTCTTACTTTTTTCTTTTCTCCCCGTTGTTTCTTCCCCTTCAGGCGGGGGTTCATCATGGGCGTCTGGAATTCCCACACATCTGTGGGCAACATCCTGGGCTCCCTCATTGCCGGCCTCTGGGTGAATGAGCAGTGGGGCCTGTCCTTTGTCGTGCCTGGTATCATTATCACTGCCATTGGCATCTTTACCTTCCTCTTTCTCATTGAATGTGAGTTCAGATGCAATTCCTGGATCTCTCCCTTCCCACAGACACCATAGTTGAGCCTCAGAGTTCCTCTCCCTGGTTTCTGGGAGAAAGCAACTGGATATAGTGGAAAGATCATGGTTATGGAGGTGGAGGACTAGCCATGTGACTCTGAACAAACCACTTAACTTCCCTGAGCCTCAGTTTTCTCATTTGTAAAACAAGAATAATATACCTGCTTTGTATGATTTTTGACAGTTAAAGTGAGATAACGTAGTTAAACTGCCTGGACCATCGTCAGTTCAATCCGAGAGGGATGAGGAGGGAAAGGTAGAGTCAAAGGTGCATTCTTACAGTACATAATTTCTTACACTTGGTGGACAGCTGTTCTCGTCCACAATTTCTGACTGCTTTGTGAATCTGCAAGGTCAGGTATTATTCATTGTGTACGTAAGAAAACTGAGACCCAAAGGGTAGTGGTAATAGAGCCTGTTGTTTAAGAAGACATGGCCTAGAAACCTAGCCTCCTGACCCCCAGAAGTTTCTAACAGGGTTTTCTTTCAGACCCAGAAGATGTGGATTGCAGCCCTCCTCAACATCATGTGAGTGTGAGCCTTCCCAGCTCTGCCCTGCCCTCTTCCTCCATCTAGAATGGGTCCCAGAGAGAGATGGAGAATTAGGGAAGGGAGTACTGGCCCCACAATTAGTTCACAGGCCTTTGGGCTGGCTCCCCCACAACCCAATGGGCCCGCAGGAGGTAAGCCCTCCCCCCAGAGCCCTGTCCCTCTTCCAGCTCAAGAGACCCACCTCTCTCACATGAGTTTGCCCCTCCAGGTGGGAGGTAGTACTGGCCCCACTAAAAGGGTTCATCTCTTCTTCTCAGAGTGGTACAGGAGAGGACCAGGACAACCTTGAGGACCCTGCACATAGCTCCTACTCAGACAGAGAAAGCAGCTTGGAAACTCCCACCAGGTGTTCCAAGGAACCAAGTGTTAAGCCTGCTGCCATCAGCTTCTTTGGGGCACTACGGATCCCGGTGAGAAGTGTGGGAACAGAGGAAGAGAGAGGCTCTCAGGTCTTCTGGTGGATAACAGGGAGGGCACAGGCAGCAGAATCATCTGTGATTTTCAGGATTTCTTTGCTAGAGATGCTCAGGGTGGGTAGCAGTTGGGGAGGGTAATCTGGAAGGCTTACCTTGCTTGAAGGAGGCTCAACTTGCATTTGAGTAGCAGGCACACTGATTTTATTTAGATTGAGTATATATTGGAGGGGAGCTCTGGTAGCATAGTGGCTAAGATACTTGCCTGCTAACCAGACGGCTGGCGGTTCAAACCCACCAGCCACTCCTCGGAAGGAAGGTTGGGCAATCCTACTTCCGTAGTGATACTGCCTCGGAAACCCAAGGAGGGGTCGCTATGAGTCGGGGCCGACTCGACGGCACATAACAACAACAACAACAATATATTGGAGGTTGCTCTATGTGGTAGGTGATGGGAATTACTGAGTGGTGCTGAGGTACCCTTTTCAACATGCCCTCCGGTTTGCTCCACAGGGCGTGATAGAATTCTCTTTGTGTTTGCTCTTTGCCAAGCTGGTCAGTTACACATTCCTTTACTGGCTGCCCCTCTACATCTTCAATGTGGGTAAGTACAGGACTTACCGCCATGGTGGTACATGTGACTCCAGTATATGGACAGGATTCCTGCAAAGCTCAAAGGAGACTTTTTAAATGGGAAGCTAAACCAGTTGAATTTTCACTTTCCATGGTAGACTCTTCAACTGCCAGCCACTGCACCTCATGCACAGCCACCTCCCATTTGTCACTGGGGGCTTGCATGTTGTTATGATGCTGAATATGTTTCAGCAGAGCTTCCAGATGAAGAAGGAAAACCTGGCAATCTGCTTCTGAAAATCAGCCAGTGCAAACCCGATGGATCACAACAATCCGAACTGCAACCCATCATGGGGGTGGCACAGTGTTTTCATTGTACTGTGCATGGGGTCACTGTGAGTCAGGGCCTGATTTGATGGCAGCTGAAAACAGTAAATCTTGTACTGCTCCAGCCACCTCCCCTCCCCAGCCAGGAGTGGGGATTGGACACAGTGCTGGCTTCTGCAATCTCCCTGTCCTCTCCTCTAGCCTTTAGTTTCATGTCCTGGTCTAGATTCTCGGTTCATAGATGGGGAGTTTTGAGATTGGGTGCTGGAAATGGTTTGGCTTTTGAATATCTCCAGGAATTCCTTGAGCCTTTGAGCTACCCCACTCCCTGTAGCCCAGCTGCAACCCTTTGTGCCTGGGTCTGCTGAAACAAGCTGGGTGTCTGCCCCCTTGTGCATCTTTCTCTGTCCAGGGCCCAGGATGTAAAGATGAGAGGTCACTCTTGTGGTTGAAAAAGGGGGTTTAATGTCTACCTGGCTTAGGTCTCTGCTTTTCCATAGGTAGCATAATTCTACAAGGAGTGGCTTCATTCCTTCACCTCCAGATCTCAAGCTTCAACGCTCTGCCAGGCCTAAAGACTTCACATCTAGGGCTGTGGGAGGCACAGGCTGTTTGTCATACACTTGCTCTGAACAGGAGACTGTGGTGATTACTCATGACCACATCTCAAGCTGTAACTTGCTCCACAGCTGTACAGAGGGGACTCTCAGATAGTGGTAGAGCACCAGGCAGTTCCCAGTAACTGTGACTCTTTGTTTCATGGCCTTGGTGCTGACTTCAGAGTATGAGTCATGTTAGGGGCTGGGCTACAATTCCAGCTTCTAGACATTCCTTTTTCTAAATCTAGAACCAAGGCCTGGGACCTGAAGTCCCCATTGCCCTGCAAGTCTCCTTCCAGGGTCTGTTTAGTGGAAGAGACCTAGAATAGATGTGGAGACCTTCTGAAGTGGAGGCTGCTGATAGGTCAAGAGCAGAGCAGGAAGGCTGGCTGGTATAGGGCTCGGGGGGAGAAGGTTAGTGGGAGCCGTTCAGCTCTCCAGGAAAGATGGTCAGTGGGCCCGTGTTCTCAGGGGCTTGATCCTGTGCTACTGAGAGGAAAGGCTATTCCAGGGCCAAGGTCCTCCTATAGGGGAAGAGGGTAGTACTAGTTGCAGAGCCAGGAAGGACTCTGGTCCTAAACTGCCACAGACTCACTATTTGAGTCAGGGTCTTGAGCCAGGGTCTTCTGCTGGTCCTTTGCTCTGTCCTCTGAAAGAGGGTTGGAACTAGATTACATGCTTTGAAGGGAACTTTCTGGCCAGGATGTTTGCCCGAGCCCCAGGTCTGACTGCACCTCTGTGTTCTCCACAGCTCACTTTAATGCCAAGGAGTCTGGGGACCTCTCTACGCTCTTCGATGTTGGTGGCATTATGGGTGAGGCTTTTTCCTGCTCTGCTAGCAGTTGCTGCATCCCCCTGTACTGTTGTGGCTGCAGAAAAAAAGGAACAGGTCCAATGAGATTCACCTGGGGAGGTGTTACCAGGGAGAAAAGGACTTCTGGCTTCTTTCTCTGTTCCGTTCCTGCCTGACTGGATGGCCCTAAGAAAATCACCCCTTGTGTGTTGGTCTTCTCATGGGTGTAAGGGGAGGGCTGGAGAGCAAGAAACTCTGCTGCCTCTCGATGCCCAGGCCTAGGATGACGCTGGGCAGGGTGACAGGGCCAAGCATGGGGCACATGGTGGGTGGGAGGGCTGTGGTCCCACCCGGGGTGGTAGCATGTGAATGGGATATGTGTTCCAGGTGGCATCATGGCAGGGCTTGTCTCTGACTACACCAATGGCAGGGCCACCACCTGCTGCGTCATGCTCATCTTGGCTGCCCCTATGGTGCGTATCAGGACAAAATGAGTATGTGTGCATGCGTGTGTCTGTGGGCCTGAACAATGTATGCACCTAGGCATGGACCCACATGCCTGTTTCCCTGAGTGTGTGCATGTATGTTCACAACTGGGGAGAAGTGAGAGATCAGCAGAGGGGCAGGAAGAGAGCCAGAAGCGTTTTGGAAACAGATGAGTGACTATTTGGCTTTGGTAGAGCAGAGGAAGACCAGCTCCTAAACTTCTTGACCAAGAAAAAACTAAGAGATTGAAGTGATAAATGAGAGAAAATGTTTTGGGAAAAAGAAAAAAAAAGCATCAAGTGGCCTGGCATGAAGGGAAAAGGAATAAGGTAGCCTCTGAGGTGACAGGGTGGAAGAGGGCTGTTCCAGACTTTTGGCCACAGTCTGGTAAGGGCAGCACCTGGCCGAGCCTACTTGTGATTGCCTCTTTACTCCCTCCTTAGATGTTTCTGTACAACCACATTGGGCAAAGTGGGATGACCAGTTCCATAGGTAAGGAGTAAGCTTCAGGTTCTGCCAAACCATGGGAAGGTCACTCTTCTTCTCCACCTTTTGAGCCTTGGTGGGGCCTTTGAACTTGGGTTGGGACATCAGGGGGAGAGACTGGGAAGTGGACACTCTCAAGCCTGATGCCTGGGAGTACTCACCTGCTTTGCGGCAGATCTTGTGGTGGCCTCTCATGATGACTGTACTGTCTTTGCCCCAGTCATGCTGATTATCTGTGGGGCCCTGGTCAATGGTCCGTATGCACTCATCACCACTGCGGTCTCAGCTGACCTGGTGAGCTGGGCCACCTCGAAGGGGTGGGGTGGGGTGGACTGGAGGTCAGGGCTTCTGTTTCCGGGCCTATTTTCCCAGCATCTTTTCCCTCCCCCCTCTTTTGCCTTCATTCTCTGCAGGGCAACCTGCAGAGTCAAGATCTTCAAAGTCCTTCAGAATCTACCTCAGGCCCTCTCTTTCCTCTTGACCTCAAGTCCCAGTGGCCTCCTTGCCCAAACTGCCCCTCTTCAGACCCAGTCCTGCCCAGTGCTGTGGCTTAGCTGGGTCTCCTGCTCTGCTCTCTCCTAGGGCACTCACCAGAGCCTGAAGGGCAATGCCAAGGCGCTCTCCACTGTCTCAGCCATCATTGATGGCACTGGCTCCGTAGGTCTGTGACTCTCATGCTTGGCTTCCCTTGGTAACCAAGCCTGAGCCTTGCCTTGGGAAGACCCCTGGACATGGCGCTCCTATAGGCTAGGAGAGCCAGGGTCCTCCTTTGATCCATCTCATGGGTTGTTCTCCACACAGGTGCAGCCCTGGGGCCTCTGTTGGCTGGACTTATTTCCCCCACAGGCTGGAACAATGTCTTCTACATGCTTATCTTGGCTGATATCCTGGCCTGCTTGGTAAGAGTTATTGGGGTACACAGATACGTACTGGGGAGCTAGAACCCTAGAGGTCCAAGCATCGGCCAGGCAAGTTCTGGGACTAGGAAAGCAGCTGCCCTTTGCTTAGAACCACTTACCCTCCCATGGGGATGCCCCACCAAATGAACCTGTGTGCCCACCTCTTTCCTAACTATTGGTCTGTTGGTCACCTAACATCGAGAACTATGTGCTGGATGCTAATGTTGCCTTCTCTTCCCTCTGTGCCTCTTCCCCACAGTTCCTCTGCCGGTTGGTATACAAAGAGATTCTGGCCTGGAAGACGTCCCTGAGCGCTGGCAGAGGGTGAGCCTCAGATGGCTGAAGCCCCACCTCTCCCACCCTCACTTCCCATGAGAGTCAAAACAAATGCTCAGCTTCCCTAACCCCATTGCGAGAAGCTGAGCCAGGCCCTGAGTGTGCTGTCTGGATCGCCTCCTTCAGCCCCACTAATCTGTCCTCCATTGTCCTCTGTGTGTCTCCATAGCTCTAGTCTGGCCCTAACCCACCCGCGATAGTATTTTCCTCAAGTCCCATGACTTTTGTGAGTATTTTCTTCAAGTCCTGGCTAATATCTCATTAGAGCAGGGCCTGCATGCAAACCTTCTGTCCTCTAGGGTGATTTCTCCAACTTTCTTTTTCTTGGTGGTCAGTTCTAAGGACTCTCAACCCGAGCTGAGCATGGTGCTTGGGAATTTTCCTATGGGGTCTGAGATGCCACAAAGGTTGGCAGCCTCTCACCCTTGGGGACAGCATTAGGGCTCTGTCCTCCCAGGACAGAGGAGGCAGAGGCTAGGGAAGCATTTTTCCCTCTGAACTCAGACTGTGAAGTGCAAGTGCCTTCTGAAGTTCAGAAATCGAGGTCATCTGCCCCCTCTGATTGGGGTAAACAGAAAAAAAGCAAATACAAATCAAAGCCTCTGAAACAAATTCTAATTGTGTTGGTGCTCTGCTTGGTGTGCTCTCTGCTCTGTCTCCAGTGGTGGGAGGGGGCATCGTGTGATGGTATGTATAGCTTAGGGCTGAGGCAGGGCCTTTGTGCTGGAGCTGGTGGTTGGAAACCCCTCCTTCAGTGGCCTTTCTGGCTCTCCTTCTAAGCAGGAGTCTTTTGGACGAAGTGGCTGGAGTGGTGGACCTGGGCTAGATGGTCAATGTGAGGAAGAACCTCCTGGGGTTGTGGTGATCAACATGCTATCTGGGAAGCACCTTCCTTTAAGGAAGGTATCATCCAGGCTTACTGGGAAAAACTGAGAACAGGAGGCATTAACAGTGGCTACTTGGCTGCCTTTGAGGAGGGCAGGAGGTTGGAACAATGTGATTCTGTGTCCCTTCACCTGTGCTTTTCTAGGCCAGGGTGAGGAGCCATTGGGAGGGGAAGAAAAGAAGCAGGAAGGGGAAAAGAATGAATATTTAGGAAGCAATTAATCTGTGCCTGAAATCAAGTGAGATTTAGGATATATTAGCAGCTTACCTTTAAGCAAACTTGAAAGGTAGATACTTTTATTCTCATTTAGCAACGAGAGAACTAAGGCTCAGAAATCATGGATACGCTTAAGGCCTTCAGCTAGTCATGCAGAACTTAGTCATGGCAGAACTTGAATTTGAGCCCAGAGGTGTGGGGTTCCTTGTATTGCTGCCATCCTAAGCCAGTACTTCTCCATGGAAAGGCCATTATGTGGTGGATTAGTGGCTAGAATAGAGAGCACACTAGGCTTGGAACCAGACATCCCTGGACAGTCCTGACTTCACTGCTCACTCTCACTTATAAGATCTTGGGCATATCCCCCAGTGTCTCTGACCCTGCACATCTTTCTGTGAGAAATGGGGTTACTTATCCCTAAGTCCTGGGCAGGGTTGAGCTGAGGCCAAGATGAGAAAGAATATGTGATACTGTTTTTATAGCTGCCAAATGTGGTATAAACATCCTAAGGTTAATGTTATTCTACCTTGCTATTCCCTGTCAAGAGGGGAAAGGAAATAAAGGAGAAATGAAAGGCAGTTATTAAGTGACCCTAGGGATCTACCTTCCCCATCCCCACCATTTGGGTAGGAGCTTATTAACCTGTCTCTCAATTTCTCTTCTATTGTCTCTCTCCTTTTCATTCAGGTATAAAGAATTCTGAGGCCCGTACTGGGAGAGAAGCACGAAGGATTCCCCCTTGGGTCCCCAAAGTGCTCCCCATGGGAGAGACAATGGACACTTACTTCCACAGACGGGTGAGGCAAAGCTTCTTGACCCAATACCAGCTAGGCCAGGCCGGCCAGGTCCAGCCCAGTGGGCTGCTAGAACTTTAGGAGATTCTCCATGGGGAGGGGACTGCCAAACATGGAAGATTAAAGGACCTGCTCTCTGGGAACTTCAAGCAGAAGGGATGGGGATCAGAGCTGAGTGCTGTCTCCATCTTGCTCAGCCTCCTCCTTGCTCAGTTTCCAAGACAGGAGGGAGAAGTTCTATGGAGCTAAGGACTGGAAAAGGTGGATCTTTTCTTCCCATGTTAAATCTCTGTCCCTCTTACTCATTTTGATTAAAGTATTATTGTTGTATTCTTCAGGGTCAGGAATAGGGTGGGCAGGAACAGACAGGGGCATGTACTCACCCCTACTTGCCTGGCCCTGACAGTGAGTGCCTCCCTTGCCTCACCCTAATCCCAATCCTCTGGGGCCAGTGCTGACAGTGGATGGAGGCAGAGTATGACTTAAAGTACTAGTGCATGTAATACGTTTCTGATAATGAAATGCAAGTGGTTCCTGAGTGCCCATGTGCACAGGAGTAGAAAACAGATGCAGAGACTGACTACCCTGAGCACAAGGAGCCTCGGTGACAAGACTGGCAAATCACAAGAGAGCTGCGTGCTTCATCCGGCAGCTGTTACATGTGCACTTGCTTGGAGCTCCCTGTAACCCTTATTTTCTGCTTGATGTACTTACTCTGAAAGTACCCCTTACACCTCAAAACTTGGATTGCTACCTGCCAAGCTGGCTCTTGGCATTATGTCTGATCCTTCAAGTTGCCTGTCAGAATAATACAGATTTCCTTTTGCCAGCTGTGCTTGTGTTTTTCCTTGTTGGGGCATGACACAGCAACAGCAAGATGGGCTCACATGGGTTGCTAGAAGTGACATCCAGGACACAGTATTGGTGGCCTGGGGCTGATTTATAATAGGCATTCACCAGGACAGGGAGGGGTGGAAATGCTGATGATGACAATAGATGACATGTAGCACGTAGAGAAAACTGGGAACTTAAAGCCCCATATAAGATACAACCATGACATTAACTGGGACATTTTGTGAGCCATTGTATGAGCCGATTCAAATCCCTCAGGAGTGATATGGGTTGTATATACTCTGATATAACAAATAGGTTGGTCTCGCATTGCCTGATAGTCACTAAGGCCTCAGAGCCCCAGGGCTAGAGCCATAGTGCATGGTGTTATGTCCAGTTCTAATGAAGCCTTCTCTCAGGATCACAAGATTGATCTGATACCCTCGCTTTGGTGGGACTACCTCAGAAGCTGTTACTTACATTTGCCACTAGATGGGGATATAATCCCATGGTAGAGTCCAATGTGGGCCTGTGCACAAGTCTGCTTCCTGGGAAGGAGGCAGAGGAGAGGAGGTTTCTTCACTTCCAACTTTTGTCTTTTTGCTGCAGACAGGTCAGAGTAGGAGGAGTGGGATACTGTTCCTCCACTGGCTTGTTTGATGTCTTCTCTACCCCTGTTTCACCACTTACTAGCTTTAAGCTGTTTCTTCATCTAGATGATGGTGGTGAAAGGGAACAAATGAGTGTTGAACACATTGCTGCCCTTGGAGAGTTTATCTAGTTAGGGGGAGAGGATGTTGTTGTTGTTGTTGTTATGTGCCGTTGAGTCAGCCCCGACTCATAGCGACCCCTCCTTGGGTTTCCGAGGCAGTATCACTACGGAAGTAGGATTGCCCAACCTTCCTTCCGAGGAGTGGCTGGTGGGTGAGAGGATAGGAATATGAAAATGTTTTATGTTTAAAAAACAATACAAGAAATAATACAGACAGATAGTGATTCAAGTTGAGAAGTTGCACCATTCATTGTTCCAACTAAAAAGGGATAGAGGCTGGAGGGAGGATGAGGCCCATGGCAATGGGAGAAACACATGTGAAAGGCTTATGAAGGAAGAATTATTAGGACTTGGGTGATTAGATTAGGTAGGAGCTCATTGTCAGGGTAGGCCCAATGTAATCATAGTGCCCAACCAGAAGGCTAACCAGACTGCTAACCAGAAGGCTGGTGGTTCAAACCCACCAGCCACTCCTCTGAAGGAAGGTTGGGCAAACTACTTCCATAGTGATACTGCCTCGGAAACCCAAGGAGGGGTTGCTATGAGTTGGATCTGACTCACGCCAATGAGTAACATGTTAGCCATTAAAAAAAGTAATAATAGTGACCCCTCCTTGGGTTTCTGAGGTGGTATATGTCTACGGAGGGAGCTCTGGTAGCATAGTGGCTAAGACACTTGCCTGCTAACCAGACGGCTGGCGGTTCAAACCCACCAGCCACTCCTCGGAAGGAAGGTTGGGCAATCCTACTTCCGTAGTGATACTGCCTTGGAAACCCAAGGAGGGGTCGCTATGAGTCGGGTTTGACTCGATGGCACATAACAACAACAACAACATATGTCTACGGAAGTAGATGCCCAATCTTCCCTCCAAGGAGTGGCTTGTGGGTTTGAACTGCCAGCCTTCTTGTTGGCAGTCAAATAGCACTATGCTACCAGAAGGACTGGAAAATGAACAAGTGGATGTCTCATACCAGCGGATACATGTGGTGTTGGAGATAGGCAAAAGCATTGTGGGAGTTTAGAGCCTGACCTTAGAAATGAGGACTTGGGCTGTAGGTATAAGAGGTTGGGGAACCCCAGCCATGAGATCTGCCCTTCTGCACTTACCTCCCAGGTCCCTGCCCCACCTCAGCCCTGGGTACTGACTATTTACCAGGGGCCTGGTACTTACCTTCTTTGGGCCTCAGCACTCACATGGGGGTAATGCAGGAGCATTACATTAATTAGTTATTCATTTAATTTAACTTCACATTTGGTCTCAATTAAGCCTAAAGTGTTCTTCCTTCTATATGCTACAGTGGCACTTGTAATTAAAAAGCAGTAACTCTTTGTATTTTTCCTTTAGAGACCCATTGGTGGGCTGGGCTGGTGTGGGGGTTGGAATGAAGTAATGAAAAGAAAGGAAAAAAAGTTATTGACAGATCTCAGCACTCTGAGGCTACTACTAAGAGGAAGGATGGGGGGAGGGAAATTTTTAACACATCATGGGGAGACCCTGTGAATTGGCAAGTGGTATTGGAGATAAAGAGGCAGATCTGTACATCAAGGAGTTGGGTAGGGAGTGGGTGCAAGGTAGAAGGATGTGACCCTTAGAGTTGTGGTGGGCAGAATAATGGCTCTCAAAGATGTCCGTGCCCTAATCCTGAAACCTGGGCAAATGTAATTAAGGATTTTGAGAAGGGCACATTATCCTGAATTGTC